CGAGCCAGGCTGGGGCCGCCCCGCGTCTGTTTGAGGGCGACAAACATTGCACCCCGCAGCCGGGCGAGCCATAAGGCGAGGTGGCGGGGCGCGGCGGCCCCCGCACGCATTGCCTCTCGGCACACGCCCCCTTTGGCGATGGGCGTGACGCCTGCCATGGGGGGGGGGGAGGCGCTGCTCCGCCCGCGGCGCCGCCCGCCCGTCCGCGGGTGTAAACACTCTGCCCGTCCCGGCTGCCAGGCCTGTGCTGTTCCGGTTGGCCGCCCCCGGGGGGCCTGCCCCCCCCCCTCCTCCCCCTCCCCCGTGAAGCTGCACCGCGCTGCAGCTGGGCGTATCGCGCGCGGTGTAGCGCCGGAAGTGACTGGGAGACTCTCTCGCGCCGCCCCCGCCCGCCCCTCTCGCCATTCGACTCCATCTCTCGAAAGCTGCATCGCCCGCCCGGCGGCTGCATGCTCACTCACTCACTCACGCCCTCTGCCCTATCTCAATCTGGCTGGTGCAGCTCTCTGAACGTGGCGAAGGAACGCGATACTTCGCGCACCCTCTGTAGCTCGCTCGCAGGGCCCAGGTCCATCAGCACATGGAGGGGAGATCCCTCCCGCAGCCGCGCTCGCTATTCATGAGATCTGTCACCGGGCCGCGCTGCGTGTGACGGCGCGGAGGTGGTGTGGCGGCCCAGCCCCAGGCCCGCGTCGACACGACACACGCGACTCATTGTGTACCTGCGCACCCGTCGGCAGCCTGCCGGGCACCAGTACAGCGGCGGTGCTTGCGGGCCTTGCGACGTGGCCGCGGCCTTGACGAAGCCGCGCACGCATGCCGGGGACACACTGAGGCATCGCCGGTGCCGCCTCACCACGTGTGTGTGTTGAGGGCGCTTTTCAGTCGCATCGGCCGTGGTCGACCACGGCTCAACCAACACGGCTCATATGCTGCTCGGCGGGTGTCGTCGACCACGGTTGGGCCACCACGCCCTGTGGAAAGCACCTCCCGTGACCACGGCTGACCATGCAGTCGACTACGGTTGACGAATGAAAGACCCCTCAGTGAGACGTCATCGATGCTGTGCGTCGCGGAGAGAAAAACATGCTGAAACTGAGAGCCAAAACAGAAAGTGGGGGAGATACGCCCAACGAACGGCTCTGACCCGCGGAGGATGATCCGCCGCGCAGCCGCGCCGAGCCAATCCAGGCGACAGAAATGGACGCGAAATTGCTCTCGGTCGGTTGTCCAGTCAGACCGCGCCTGGCCGCCGCCCGTGGGCCGTGGCCGGGGCGTGGCCGGGGGGAGGGGGGGTAGACAAGCGCCCCTTGTTTGTGGCTGCTCTGTCTACAGCCCCGGACAGGACCGCGTGCCGAGCCGCTGCCGCGTAGAGTGTTGTGGGACGTTGAAGGGACCGGAGCTGCGCGGCGGTACGTGCAGAGAGATGGAATGAGGACCCGCGGTG